AAAGGCAATAACCCAGTTTGGGTCCAAGATACTTGCCCAAGAGAGAAATGTTTAAGACAAGAGCTGAAGAATCAAGTAGAATAAGTCAGAGGAGGCATGAAGGAAAAATGTGCCAGGTGGAAAGACCATCTAGGTATCCTCAGACAGGCCAGGCTAGCTGAGGTAAATGGACGGAGAGGAAAGTGTGCAGAGGAGTCCCCGGGAGGGAAGGCAGGGTCAGAATTACCCCAGAGGAAACATGAGCTGGGACGCAAAGCACCAACAAGGGGCAGAGATCTTGGTTAAGGGACACACTTTTCTTTCGCAAAATTTAGGGAATACAGTTTTTATTCCTAATCTTACGATTTTTTAAAAATATTTTTATTTATTTATTTGACAGAGAGAGATCACCAGTAGGCAGAGAGGCAGGCAGAGAGAGAGGGGAAGCAGGCTCCCCGCTGAGCAGAGAGCCCAATGCGGGGCTCGATCCCAGGACTCCAGGATTGTGACCTGAGCCGAAGGCAGAGGCTTTAACCCACTAAGCCACCCAGGCGCCCTAATCTTATGATTATATGATTATAGCGCTATTACTGGAGTACATGAGAAAGATCTGTTTTTATTTGGTTGATGCTGAGTAAAAGGAAAACATCACCATTATCACATCTGCAATAATTTGGTGGGTAATTCAATCAACTTGGAATAGGATGTACAGACCACAGGTGCTATTGTGTCTTGTACAAGAATAGAGGTTCCCTCCGACAAATTATCATCAGCAGGAGCAGCAGCATGAATGATTTAACCTAAAAATCTCAGAAAAATCAGATTAGAAGTGAGTTTTAACAATAAAAACCCTAATCAATTCAAATCATATTGATAAGTACTTACTGAACAACTATTACACTGGAGACACACAATTTGTAAGTTGTGGCCATTTAACTTTGAGGCAGAAGTTGCCCTAGTGATTTGATGTGTCAGGAAACAGCTTTGGTATGGCTGTCCCAACAACAGGCCAGATTCCAGTTGCACAAGATGTCAAAGGCTGTGTGAACACGGAGATAACTGACTCCAAGCGAACGTCTCTGGTTTCCACATTGCTCAGATCTGCTGCCAGAGCAAGGGATTGAGTCTCGATTTTCCATTGCAAAATATTCTTGATAATTTCAAACAGAAATTGTCTTTGTTTATTTTCATTGTTGTTCTCAATAAGAGGTGGATGCTTAGAGTGGACCAAATTAGTAACCGACAATCAGTTATGGCATTCTGTCACAGGCTGGTTAGCTTGTCCTCACAAATCCGCTTTTACCCCCCATTCTGAATGGAGACATTATTCACCTACAATATGATCTAGGACAGCACTGGTTTCAACTCCCAGCAATACATGTTAGCAATTCTACTCTACATAGGACTCAACTTCTTACCTCTTCCCTTGGCCACCATTCTAATCCCCTCTGATCTACTTCTGTCATACACGTATTTCTCCACATTCCTGTTTCTACTGAATGGGCTGAGGTACAGCAGTTTACGGGCTTATCTGTGTGCACGTATGGGTGAGCTGTTATCCTGGAAGCACGTGATGCCCAACTTTGGCTTACCCGTGCACACAAATCATTTGCCGAGTTTCCAATCTACTCAAAATTATAACCCTTCTCCCTGTAGACAACACTTCAGGCATTAACATCATCTCATGGAATCATTCAAGAGTACAATTATCAGATTCTGTACTTCTGACCTATATCGGCATTTAGTAGTTGGGAGGTGATTTGTGACCCTAAACACAGATACAATATTTTACTTGTTTTGCCATTGTAATGAATGTAAACAATTTACATAACAGATTAATTTACTGGCTATGTTTGTCCATTTCTTCAAAATGCACTTATCAGATAATGTAAATTCTTGACAATTCAAATCCATCATCAGTTTAGGTTACCAGGGTAGATATCTGAAAGGGTTTATAACTTCCTTCCCTTCCTCTCTCCTGTTTTTGTCAGTCTTCTCTTGTAATTATTGATATTCTCCTTTTTGTATAATTAAAAGTTAGAGTAATCCTTTGATAAACTCAGTAATAACTTTTCTTTAACATTGCCATTTGCAAGGCCCTTGTATGCTCAAAAACCAAGAAGGAAACTGGCATTTATTTGGCACATCTGTCTGATTTTATCACCAGGTAGCATGTCTGTGTGCACAAGTATAAGCCAGAGCCAGAGGAGTCGCTCCCTACTTTTTGGCTTATTTCTTCTCTCTGCAACATATTTAACTCCAGACTCATTTTTTTTCAATTTAGGATCTATAAATGCTTCAGGAGCAACCATTCAGAGACTAGATCTAGCCTCTCTAAGAATGACATTTACTCAGGGGTAGCGATGGCATTTTGACCAGAGCTGTGTATGCGTGCCGGGAGCCAGTAAGAAACAGGTGAAATGTGGTCAGAGGAGGGAGGATCTTGACTACTAAACACGTGAGCTCCTGGGTGTTTTTTTATTAAAGCGATGCTCAGTAAGTAGAAGTGAAGACCAGTATAGACTGGCGGAAAGAAACTCTGAAGATAGATCAATTAGGAAAACTCCTGGAAATCAGGTGTAGAATGACCCCCTCTGTCACTCTCACAGACCATCAGGAGCCGCTCAGTACTAAACAAAATGGTAAAGTGAGATGGACAGCTGCTACTTTGTCCTGCAACACAGGGCAGCCTGCCATGGTCAGAGGAGTCCACAGGTCTGGTAGGCGAGACCCCCAAGCATCAGACTCTTACAGCAGGAGGCAGCTGCAGACAAAAGGCATGATCCTTCCAAATCAATTGGAAGGATTTCTCTTAACTCTCCTGGGCAGAATTCGGGTAAACTGCAACATCTTATGGTCTCCTAACCTAGAGGAGAGGGCTGACAGAATAAAGGACAAATAACCCCTAAATATTGTGAGGCTTTTTAGCTTACTCAAATGTTTTCTTCTTTTCCTTTGGAAGAAGATTAAAATAACTAAACTGTATATATATTTTTTAACCTCAAAGTTTTACTTTCTAAAATGAATGTTGGTTAAATGACTCATTACATGAGTTTTAGAAAAACAGGAACTACACAAATGTACACCTGTGATGTAAAAACACATAAGGTATATAAAGTCTTGGATTCCCAAGTGGGAAGACTCATATGGTCAAATGTAAATTATTATCCATTGTTATATGAATGTAAAACAAAGTTTTATTTGAATTTTCACCAATTGGAGATAAACAGATGATCTGACTTCCAATGTTGCTATGGAACAGAAATGCCGTTTTGTCTGGTGATTGGCAGGTAACACCTCAAAGAGATAAGTAAGTCTCCTTCCCACCAGTTGCAGACATTAATTTTCCAAAGAGTTTCTTTGCCAATGGTCAAATGGAATAGTTCATTTGGAGATAGTTAATTATTCTCCTGGGACTTGATGGGTTGGTTAACTCGTGTGTAAGTATGAATAATCAATATTTAATACTCTACAATGTGACTGCTAGAGTAAAATTTTGAATAAGAGTCATATAAACATTTAAAATCTATTATTGAAGAAAGATGTCATGAGAAAGTCAAGTGTTTACACATAATATTTTATAAAGATAAAATTAATAACTTAAAAAATTAAAGTTCTGTAGCATGTGCTAAACATTTGAAGTTAATTGCACATCTTAAGTTTTGCATCATAGTTCAGTTCTAAAATCCCATTTTAAGTTCAAATAGAAAACATATGTTTTCATGCTATTCTGTGAAAAGGGATGGTATATTTTTTAAAAATAATTTGTTGTCTAATTTCCCCAATGTTGCATACAGTATATTGGAGAACTTCTGAAATGTTTCTTATTTGTAACATTCAAGATTGTAATTATTGTTTTCGGCTTATTGTTAGCACTTCATGGCTTTTCCTGGGAGGCGAGTACAATTTTGCCACCGTGTAAGTGTATCTATTGGAAACTGAGAGACTTACCTAAAATTTATCATGTCTTCAAACAAAACTTGCCATTTAAAGTCATAATGCCGAATACTATGGCTCAGAAAAACTTTGTTTTTATAGATAATTACACAGAAGAGAAAAAGGCTGAGGAAAGCACTTCTCCTGGGCTTAGAATAAAGACATCCTTAACGGCTGACATAGACCACGTGATTTCACATGAATTTTAGGTTGTCTGGATTCTCGCAGCAATTTCCCTTCACAACCACTAGAGAAAGGACAAATTATCTAATTCTTTTTGGCTTTAGTTTGTTTTGGTACTAACCGGTCCCTAAAGAGAGGTGATCATAGTGACAGTGGGCTAGATATCTTCCTCTCCTACTGAAGCACCAGCTTTGTCTTATTGGTTTTGGGGACCTTGACTACCTCGCTCAAGGGTGGGCACACAGTGGGTCTTCCATAAATGGAAACTCCATAAACCAAAAGAACAAAGGAGGTGATAGTAAGTTGATGCCTATTTGAAACAGCTTAATGAGACTGTTCAACAAGGTTAGCACTGGTCCGTGATCCCGTGGACTCCACTGTCTTTAGTTCACCCAGATCAATGAGGGAAGCCAGCCTGCCCTTCCATATCAATCCAGACAGTCAAAGTAAAATATATACTTTTCATTTCAAGACATATGGTGGATGTCCACCTGCTGAACGGCAGCACCTTAAAAAGGTAATGGAAAATGAAGAGACACTTATTTTAAGTACTGTTTGGGCTCCATAGATCTCCCCCTGCAAACTGAATCTCAGAAAAATCCCATTGCTTCCCAAGATCACCCACCACTCAGCAAGTGCAGGGCTGCCACGAGAACCTGCTTCATGAAAGACCATGACTTTGAAAAGTCACCCCAGAAATATGATTTTGTTTACAATTAAGTTAGCAAATAAGTGTAACATTTCACGAATCATAAAAATTTTAAATGCCACCGAATATGAAGGCTGCAGAAAATCACTTAGCAAAAACATGGACTAAAATTCCAAAGGTCAGCTGTGACTCTCTTACTGTGGAATGAGAGCATATGTTCAAACCTGCAAATATATTTGTGGTTACTTCCTACCTTAAACACATTGATAGGGAGATCAATGACCACATAGATAAGGTCTCCAAGGGCAAGGCTGGCTATCAGCGCGTTGGGGCCATTCCTCATACACTTGTTCTGGTAAATGATCCTGAGCAGGGTTGCATTCCCCACCATTCCCACGATGAAAATAGTACAAGATATCACAGTGTTAATGTATTTGAAAGCTGAAGTAATCTTAGTCTGCTGTGGGCAATAGTTGTGCATTGAACCATTGCTGGGTAGGGCCAAATTAGTGGGTCGATGAGTGGTAACCAGAAGGTTGAGTTCTGTCCCATGAAAAATGGTGACATCATCCACTGGCGTGCTTAGGTTTGTGCTGTAGCTCTCAGGATGGTCACTGATTACACATCCAACCAGCGCTACCCAAAAGGCCACCTTGAGGCAAAAGGCTTCCATCACGATGCAAATTTGAGGAAAAGTCTCTTACTGTGTTGCCTTTATACCCTCACTTTTTTTCACCTGGAAAAGAAAGGAGGACAAATAATTTTGGTTACCAAATATAGCTGCCAATAAAATTATAGTCATTGACTATTTACTACTTCAAGTAAAAAGTAGTATATATTTGGTAATTAGATAAGATAATCTGTGTCAGGTTATCCCATGGCAGGAAAAAACAAAAAAAAAGAGCAAAGCTCCATTATGGCTCTCTCTCTATGCCTCTCTGCTTCCTTCTCTTTCCCTCTCTCATCTCCATCCACAGCTATCCTTATATCTAGATTATAATATGGATGAGGATATGCTGGTTTTTCCTTTAGTAGATAAAAAGTTACTTTTTTTTCTCCATTACACCTAGGCTGATAAGAACCTGAATTACAAAAATCTTCAAGAGTTGAGATACAAAATTTTACTTATTAATGGAAGAGAAAAGGCATTATTTGCCAAGTAGAAGTCGCATGGTATTAACTCTAAAAATCGCCCAAGTCTGTAATTCAATATTCCAAAATGTGTTCTGTTTTGCACATGGTAAATAATGGACATGGGAAAAAAATGTAGCATAGGTAGCCATTTAAGTGTTATAAAATGCTCTTTTAAAATCAGAACTCTGGTGGTGAACACCATTGATACATTTAACAATCTTCGTTTTGATTAAAAGTTATATAATTGGTAAAGAAAAAATATTTATTTTATTGAAAATCTTGATGGTCAATGGGTACAATCCACCTGACAGGCCCTATGTTTTCTTTTCCATTCCTCAGAAATTATTATCACAATATTTGCAAATGGCTGAAACTAGGAGTAATGGCTTTCTCAGGTCAGGCACAGTATCTGGCTTTCCAAGGGACATCTGTCCCAAGCTCTCTTTTAAACATCCTATTTAGCTACGTTTATAAGAACTATTGAGCACTTGGCATGCACGGTGCCATCCAACACAAACCATGTTCCTGTGAAGTCAGTACATAGTTCCATTACAAACACAGGGAACCTGGGGCTCATAAGGGCAAGGATTTTGTCAAGTCCACAGGTGGCAGTGGAAATGCTGATCCTAAGGCAGGTTAGTGTGATGCTGAACCCAAGCTCTTAAGCGCTAGCCCACACTCTCTCTCATTCTCTTGCCTTCTTAGCTCTACAATGTTTCAACAGAGTCTCCAGAGTTTTGATGAAGCAATAGACTCCAGAGGGCGATTACATGTTTCCAAAAGACCATTTGTGGTTTCTGCTTAAGTGACTTGCAGAGAGCACATGGTGCTTCTTGCTCAGAAAGTCAAGGTTTCTACTTTAATCCTGAAGGAAAGATGCTGGGGAAAATGAGGCGGTTGGAGGTAACACAGTAATCAAAGGTAAATAAAAATGGTTCTTGGGGCGCCTGAGTGGCTCAGTGGGTTAAGCCTCTGCCTTCAGCTCAGATCATGATCCCAGGGTCCTGGGATCGAGCCCTGGATCAGGCTCTCTGCCCGGCAGGGAGCCTGTTTCCCCCCTCTCTCTGCCTGCCTCTCTGCCTACTTGTGATCTCTGTCAAATAAATAAATAAAATCTTAGAAAAAAAAATGTTTTTTCCCATTTAAATATTTTGTAATTTTTCTTCTCTATGAGTTTTTAATGATTCTTTAAATGAAGACCCATAAGCTCATTAATGCAGTGGCATGTGTCTATGATTTTTAGGCCCAGTCATAATTTAATTTTTTTAAAAACTGTGTCTTTTTTCTTGGTCTATTTATGGTTGGTACTAATGACTTTTAGGAATTTTGACAGTTATCTTGGGAAATCAACAGAGCTTAGGTTTAGACAATATAAAAATGAAATAAGATTTATTCAGGTTGTAAAGAAGGTTTGAGGTAAGTACAAGGTGCAAATACCACATACTTTTGCCTTCCCCTGAGATTTTTCCAGGAACCTGAAACAATAATGACATTGTATGTATATTAATAATTTATTATAAATGTGTCGACTTGAGCTTTGCAACTCTAAGTAGGAAGGGGCAATATTCCCATTTTAATTGTGAGGAAAGTGAGTCTTGAAGAAGGTAAGGCTTCATGGCCAAGAAATGGCAGGACAGGGATAATGCCTCACTTTGCTTTGCTTAATTATAAGTAGTTTGCAGTTGTTTCCTGCTTTTTACAGTTTAGAGTGAATATTTGACTGAATGTTGACAGATCTACAAAATGCCACTAGTTGCATTCCACAGTGGAGACCAGGACTCCAAGTACAAAGCATATGGTCATTCTCCTCTTTAGATCATAGATATGGGAGAAAAGAAATCCTTCAATACCTTGTGCTATTTGATGGCTAATCCACTTTTCCAGTTGGAATGGACCCTTCAGTAAAGTTTCCTTAAATATGGGAGAGAGATGGCCTTTCCTGGAAATGGAGTGGCTCTTTGCCCACTAGGAGAGTATTTAGTAAACTGACCTGGCTATCATGGGTGATTATGACACTCAGGAAAGGTACCACTAGTGTCTGAGCATCAACATGCTGGTTTGCTTGGTCAGCTTATTATGCAGGAACTAAGGCGGCCAGGCTGTGGGTTCTTACCAAGGTGTGAGCTAGCTACCACCGAAATCACTTTCCTTTCACCTCCAACAATGACACCACCACATCATTTCTGATGACATCTCCGTCAGCTCTCTACATGTATTAAGCTGCAGAATTCAGGGATACTTGGCAAAGATATGTGGGTATCATGTTATTATTGGGTGAAAAACACAAAACCAACCAAATAAACAAAAAAACCCCTCTCAAATGCGTGTTCCTCCAAGGATGAATCTGTAACCCTTTTCCATGGATCCAAGTTATGCTGTGCTTGGAACCCTCAGTCATAATCAGACCTGGCTCTCTAGTGAGGCATCTCAGGTTCAGCCCAAGGTTTATAGGCATGCCCCCTATTTAGTGGCTAAGAAAGCCCCCTATTTTGGTGGAGTTCAGAAAGCTATTTCTAAGGAAGAGGACGGAATCCTTCCGCTGACACTCTAAGCATTTAACACCTTGGATTCTCAGGATTAAAGTTCACCTATATAACTAGTAATTTAGAAATTCCAATCTTAACTGAAATGGCATACATTTAAAGCAGGTAATTTACTGAAATGACTGTCAAGGTGTTTCTCAATTAATTGACACTTAACACAGAGGAGGTACTAGGTGGTGGGGGGGAAAGCCATGAATATCTACGGGAGGAGAGGAAAAAAAAAACCCAAAAAACCCCAAACCCCAACAAATAAACCAGGAGCTTTTTACTAGTTTTCCTTGGGTTCTGCTCTCTCGGTAATAAATTAGCAGCTGGTCTTACTGACGACGCCTGACTTTAATATGCCTCCCACCCCACCCCCTCCGCCGCCAACTCTATCCGGGAACTCCATTAGGATGGTGTAAACAGAGGCTGATTATCTAGAAACAGCCCTTGTTTTCTGCACGTGAAACGCAACAAGTGCCCTTTAAAGGAGAGCACAGAACAAAACGCCCAGACCTCTGCAGGCAGGTTTCCAAACTAGCTGCACTGGGGGTTTTCCAAAACACATCAGTCCCTCACACCGACTGCCCTTGGCTACCCTTGGCATACCCCGGGTATGCGGGGGGAGTGGGGGGAGAAGCAAGCAAGTCTGAAAGGCAAACTTCACTAGTAGGCTTTCGAGCCACCATCAGACAAGGGCGTGATGTTGCACAAAGTTCTCGCATGCCTGGGGAGAACCGTTGATCTTCCTCTAAAAATCCGAATCCCGCCTGGGGAGGCTGGGGGCTTTCGCTCAGTGCCCCAGCCCCCAAACGTTTTCGGAGCGCTCCCCTACCCGGGAAGGCGCCTGCCCCGCCGCGCGCCCTCGGGCAGGTGGGTGCCAGCCCCTGCGCGGAGGGTCGCCAAGCCGCAGGGCGCCGGCCGTAAAGGCGCCCGCTCGCCTCTCCTCCCAGCCCTGGGGCCCAGGCGGCGCCCCCCACCTCCACCTCCCCGGCTCCCTGAGAGGAAAGAGTTGCACCGACCGTGGAGCTTGGCGGGCTCAGACAGCTGCCCGGTCTGCGCGCCGCACCCGGGCGGGAGGGAGCCGAGCCGCCGAGGGTAGGTGATGGCTGTCCTCCGGCTCCCGTGCCGCGGCGGCCCGAGAGCTCAGCGGCCTCGGCTTCCGAACGCTTCCTGGGCACGGCTTCTCCCGGGAGGTCTTCTGGCCACGGTGTGGGACGGAGTCTCTCCACCTCCTGTCCGCAACCGCCAAACCAAAGGGATGACTGCAGGCGCGCGCGCGCGAAGGCTCGCAAGAAAAAGAGAACTCCAGGGGAACACGCCTCCGGATCTGTCCTCCCCTTCTCCTCGAAACACTCTCAGACCTTCTCCTCCACTTTGGGACGCCAAGAACGTCCTACCCTTCCAGCCCTCCCGAGGCTGCCACTATAAAGCGCAAAGCTGCCGCCCCCACCCAGGCCCTGAAGGGCAAGTCTTTTAACTCTTCCCTTCCCGAAACGAAGGGGGTTTGGCAATGGAAGGAGGAGCGTTTTACAGACAAGACTCAGAACTGAGGAAGGCCTTGCTAAAAAACCCATTCCCTTCACAGTAAGAGTAGGCAGATTTGATCCGTGAGGAAAGGACTAAGGCTAGAGTCAGGATCCAAGCGGGGGTGTGGAGTCTCCTCCGCATTCCTTGCCTCTTGGCTTGGCTTCTATGCACACACACACACACACACACACACACCCGCCCTTAAGCTTAACCCAAGTTAAAGAGCCACCTTGGACAACGTTGACTGGGTCAAGTTTTGCTTCTGTCTCACCTCTAGAAGCCTGCTCCCCACTGCTCCGTACCACTGGGGGGAAGGCAGGAGAGTCTGTGAAAGGGCCCAGTGCGTGGCTTAGAGAAACCTGTGATTCCTCAAGAAATCCAAACACTGTGCATACACTGCAGAAGGTGGGTCTCAGCATCCTTCTATGATAGAGAGTTTTACCCTAAATTGGGGAGTGGGAGAGGAGGTGAGGGACAAATGCCATCGCTTGTGACATACGAGAATAAATTCAGGGGTCCTTAGAGAAATTTCTCCCTTGGAATCCTTTAAGGCACTACTGGTGTGAAACATATTGTGGAAAGGTGAGTTTGGAGCCCTGGTAACATTATATTACAGACTATTCTGATTATCTATTGCAGCTAAAGAAAATCACCCTAAAATGGTAGTGGCTAAAAAGAACAGCAGTCATTTACTTTACTCATCCTTCTGCAATCTGAGCAGGGCTTGGCTGGGACAGCTCATCTTTGCTGGGGCTGGAGGCTCCACTTCCAAGACAGTTCGCTCACTTGATGATGACTGTTGGTTTTTCTCCATGTGCGTCTCTCTACAAAGAGACTTGTAGAGAGTGATTTGTAGGCTTCCTCACAGCATGGTGGCTCTGTTCCAAGAAGGAGTGTCCAAAGAGTCAGGAAGTGGAAGCTGCCAGTTTTATAAGGTCTGGGCCTGGAAACTGGTACATGTCACTTCTGCAGGATTCTATTATGAAGCAGTCACTGATCCCAGGTTAAAGGTGAGGGGCTATTGCCTCCACCTGTCAATGCAAGGAGCGCAAAGAATTTTTAGGGGGCATCTTGTATAAGAATCAAAGAGATGCACAGAATATCACCATTGACTGGAGCCTTAATAGACATCTAGTCCGGCTGGACTAGGTATTACCCTGTGTATTAATCTACTCTATCCACAGCTTTCCCATGACAGAGAGTCAGTAAGCCTGGATAACCAATAGCTTTTGTAAATAAGTGCCTTAGTTTGCGTTGAAAAATAAAGCACATGGCTTGGCAAGCTGGCAATATTTCCAAGGAGGAAAAAGTTATTGCTTTCTCCAGAAGAGGCAGTTTTACACCAGGGTTCACACCTTGGAATGTGAACCAAGTGCTGGATTTTAGTCCTTACACACTCTGTGACCAGACACACTTGGACAGTGCACAACTTGCATAACTGAGCATATTAGTTTATCTAGTCTTTGGTAGAACACGTCCATTGGCCCCTATATCCTGGGAACAGCTCATCCCAGTGTGGCACAAGTCTAGTTATTAAAAATTCCTCTTCCAGATGTGCCTGGGTGGCTCAGGTCATGATCTCTGCGCCCTGGGATAGAGCCCTGGGTTGAGTTCCCTGCTCAGGAGGGAGTCTGTTTCTTCTTCTCCCCCTGCCCACACGTGCCCCCCCCCACCCTTCGCTCATGTGCATACACTCTCTCTCAAATGCATAACATCTTTAAAAAAAATCCCTCCTCTGCATGCCTTAAGATGTTGATTTCAAAAAGCAGAGAACAACAAGTGTTGACATGGATGTCTAGATACTGGAAACCCTGTACATTACAGGCAGGAATGTAAAAGAGTGCAATAGCTGTGGAAAAAAACGTATGGCAGTTCCTCAAACAGTTAAACATAAAATTACTGTATGATCCAACAATTCTATTTCTGGGTATATATCCAACATAACTGAAACCAGGGACTCAAACAGGTATATGTACACCCATGTCCATAACAGCATTATTCACAGTAGCCAAAAGATAGAAACAACCCGATTGTCCATCTATGGATGAATGGTGCACACACACACACACATACACACACACACACTGAAACATTACTTAGCCTTAAAAAGGGGTAAAATTCTGTTACATGCTACAATGTAGATGAAACTTGAGGACATTATGCTAAGTGAAATATGGCAGATGCAAAAGGACAGCAGTTGTAGGATTCCCCTTATGTGAATGCTTAGACAAGTAGTCAAAATCAGAGACAGAAAGTGGTATGGTGGTTGCCAGGGGCTGAGATTGGGGGAGGAATGAGGATGTGCTGTTTAATGTGCTTCAGAGTGTGGTCTGGAGATGGATAGTGGCGATGGTTGCACAGCAATGTGCATGTACTTCATGTGACAATGGTATGCTTAAAAAGTCTAAGATGATAAATTTATATTCTGTATATTTTGCCACACAAAAAATTCTTCCTGACATTAAGATGAAATCTGCCTCTGTGTCTTACCTGTTGATCTGCTGTACATGTTCCTAACATAAATTTACTGCTTCTTCTAAGAAAGATCTTCAAATATAAATAAATATGTTTTATGTGGGTTACCAGCATAGATCTGCCTTTGTAATGGATTGGGACTGCCTCATTCTAGGTGAGGACGACACAAATTTCCCTTAGTTGTTGGAGGTTTATATTCTTGTCTTTTCTGCTTTACTTTGGGGGAAATGGCTTCTGTAGGTTTAAATCTGTTTTCGTTTAAATTAACTACTTCCACTAACCCCTTTTCCCATATATAGGACTTTATATACCCCCGCTTCTATATTCCCTGCTTTGTGATTTTTTTTTTTTTAAGATTTATTTATTTATTTGAGAAAGAGAGTGAGAGCGAGAGCTTTCGCAGGGGGCAGGGGCAGAAGGAAAGGGAGAGAGAATCTCAGGCAGACTCCCTGCTGAGCACAAAGCCTGAAGGTGGGCAGTCTCAGGACACATCACAAACCAAGAGTCAGACACTCAACCGGCTGAGCCACCCAGGGGCACCCCTGCTTTGCACTTTAAATGAACACATAGTTAATATATTTGACTAAGTTTCTCAACTTGCCTTCCAAGGATTATTTCCTTCCCCTGGAAAGTAGGTTGAATGCTGGTTTGCAGGTCTTTGGAATTTCCAGGAGACTTTCTTAATCACACTTGACTTCTGGTTCAAGCGGCTCAGAAGTGGGGCATTAGTGTAATGTTAGTTACATTGCCTTTTCTCAGCATCATATTATCATTATTGATTTCCTGAATAATAATTGCTGAAGATGAAGATGTACTCAGATAGCACTTAAAAGCCAAGCTCTCATCTGCCCTTGGGATAAAAGTTCTTATGAATTTAAGTTTTTTTATTCAAACTTGCAGATCCATTTCACAATTGCTAATTCTTAAGCTCCTCAAACTTGAAGTGCAATAACAGATTTGCCTCTCACAGTATTTGCAAAAAATATTGTGTTCACTTCAGGGGCCCCTGGGGGAAAGCAAACATGAAGAGGTCAGAGAAAAACCACAGAGATAAAGAAAGGCTGGAAAGCTGGCTGTGAGAGGAGACGGGGAGAAGCTGCGGACATGCATGTCAGTGACCCAGACCCATCACCATAGCCTTCACACTGGGCAGTGCCAGGGTCAAGGCTCCCTGTTGACAATGTACCTAGAGAAGAAAAAGCAAGCCCAGTGAGTTTAAGGTTCCATTTTTAATTGAAATTCACTACAGAGAGTTGTTTTTTTCTAAAGGAAATAGTCCTAAATGTTAGCTTGTGATGGGTTGCTGAGGATTCTAAAGTGTTTTTTCACTGCAGTAATTTTGTACATGGTGGCCAAGACTGCAGGTGACCTCATTCAAACATACTTAAGGCCTAAGGCAGCCCAATGTTTTGTAAACCACTGGTGGCCTTACTGGAGAGGTGAAAAATCATTCTATCGTAGCATCACTAATGATCAGGCAAGTGGATATTAGTTGTCCTCTGATGTCATTTTCTGTCTGGCCACAAATGTTTAACTGGAGATTTTAGCTATTCTAGTTTCCAGGAGACATAGGAGAAATTAGACAAATTAGACAAATGCCGTGAGGGAATAAATAGACAAATCTAGAAAGTGTGACATTTTACAGGACAGCTAGCCCGATCTCCTCAACAAGTCAGCCAACGAAAAAGGGGTATTTTTCTAGATTAAAAGAGACTTAAAGGAGCCTGGCAACCAGCTACACTGTCCTGGATTGGATTCTGGTTTGGAGAAACCCACTGTAAGGGACATTCTTTGGACAGCTGGGAAAATTTAGATTTGGACTGAATATTAGATGCAGTGAAGAACTTACTAATTTTATCAAATATGAAATGAACTTTATTAAATGTGATTATTTTTGGCATATAGAAGAATGGTCTTATATTTTAGAAATGCTTTTCGGGGATATATAATTTAGTTTTAACTACCAAGGCAGGAACAAAAATGACATGATTTTGAAAAAAAAAAAAAAGAATGTAAAGTATCTAGGCTTGGCACATAATAGGAGCTCAGTAAACGATAGCTCTTTTTTACTTTCATTGCCCCTTCTTTGTTTGTCCATGAGGAGAATGGTAGCACAGAATGAGCAGCTTCCCATGGCAATATGGGTGACTTTGGAAAAGTGACCTAGTAGTGACTAAGGCCAAGGACACCAATGGCATCTAAGGTTCAAGATTTTGCTGGTGAGGACTAGAGGTCAAGATGGATACTATGAGGACATCATTGTGACTCTGACTCTTGTCAACTCCTTTGAGTTGGTATGGCCTTGGGAACTGTGGGTTGCACTTGTAATAAAAGACAGCAAACAAGATATGTGTAAATTTGAACAAAGAGACTTAATCCAAGGAAGTGACAGCAGATGTCCTGTGGAATAGCCTCAGAGCAGGAGAGGTAGGGATAATTAGCTTACAGTTTGCTTTTTAGATATGTCAGGGCAACTTATGATAGATTTGGAAATTGGCAG